GAGTTTGAAGACCCCTGTTCTAGGGTACCAGGTTAAGATAGGATTATTGATATTTTTTTTTATTTTGTAGAAAGACAGCTGGAACCTGCTTTGTTTTAGTCTGCTTTGGCACTGTTTTCTATATAATTTTAATACCGGTATAAGCAAAAAGAATTGTTGAGAACAGTAAGATGTAATGGTTAAAGCACAAGGCTAAAAACTGGGAGATTGTGAGTTCTAGCCTTGCCTTAGGCATGAAGCCAGATGGTTGACTTTGGGCCAGTTGCTCTCCTTCAGCCCTAGGAAAGAGGTAATGGCAAAGCACTTTGGAAATCTTGTAAAGAAAACAAGAATCTAGTCCAGGCAGTTTCCAGGAATCAAAACTCAGCCAAAGGGAAAAAAGGAAGGAAGGAAAGAAGGAAGGAAGGAAGGAAGATATTGTTAAAGGTTAGACCATGATGAAGACTGCAGATATGTTTTTGTTGGGTTCTTATGCACGTATTTTGGTTTTATATTTTTTCTTTTTCATTGAATTCTGTAACTGAACTAAAATACTTTTGCTTCCCTTAGTAAATAACCACAAATTAGATTTCTTGAAAAATTAGGTGGTTCTATTTAAAAAGTCCTTTGTAAGCGAAGCCAACAGTATTCCAAAAGAACTGAATTTACACCTCTTTCTTCCAGAACCTTCCAGAAATAAAAAAAGCCAGACAAATAAACTTCCACTGAAGCATGACTGCAATGAACTGATATTATAATTGCAAAATAACGAAGAGCAACAGTTAAACAACTGCCTCTTCAGGCCTTGTCTGCAGACCGTCAGTTTTTCCATGAAGGGAAGAATTCCTGCAGTGTCCAGGGAAGTGTTGTTTTTAGTCCACATGCTGATACACATCAAGCATCTGTGGGATATTGGACAGCTTAGCATTATCTGCTGAGAAAACAACTCCTTCCAGGGAATGGGCATCGCTCACGAGGTGTGGAAGGAATGAGGCCATTTTAGACAAGGACAAAAACAAGAGAGAAGAAACTCCGGTGGTTGGCCAGCCTGGGGGAAAGTATTTTTCAGCTGAACAATTGCAAATATATATATGTATATATTACTTTTGCTTCCTTTTCCCTGAGAATTTCAATATATTTCCTGAAATACTTGCCTCCAAAGAAAAGAGAGGCTGGAGGTGTCCAGGTTGCTTAGTTGACCTTGGCCACGGGAAGGCAACCTTGGCTCTTTTGTGACTCATGGACTTCAACTCCCAGAATTCCTGAGCCAGCCACGCTGAGGGGAAAGGGAGAGGTTTCCAAGCTGAGCCATGCTGGCTCAGGAATTCTGGGAGTTGAGGTCCACCAGTCATGAAGGGGCCAAAGTTTCCCTTATGCTGGCTCAGGAATTCTGGGAGTTGAAGTCCACGAGTCATGAAGGGGCCAAAGTTTCCCCCATGCTGGCTCAGGAATTCTGGGAGTTGAAGTCCACGAGTCATGAAGGGGCCAAAGTTTCCCTCATGCTGGCTCAGGAATTCTGGGAGTTGAAGTCCACAAGTCATAAAAGAGCCAAGGTTGCCTACCCCTGACCTTGGCTGATCTCAAAATGTCTAAGGTGGGTTGACCTATTTAGGATTCAGATGAGAGACCGCCAACAAAGTTCAGGATGTCAGGTTAGACAGGGAATTCAACACTTCCAACACTTACGCACACACACACACACACACACACACACATACGCACACTAAATATCATCTTGGAAGATTTTTGTAGTATTGCCAGGAAAACAGCATGGAGTCACGCTCAACTCAAAAGGAGATTTTGTTTATTTTGTATCAACTAATTATTGGGCTGAGAAGCACCGTTTTAAACATGGAATAGTGCCCTGAACAAAGATAAATTTGTATTTGTATTTGTTCGGAGCTACAAGTCCAGTCACCAGAACTTAATGTCGTAGGCTTAAAGAGAATGACTAGACCACACTCACCCATGACTAAGGGGGGAAGTAGAACTCACCGTCTCCTAGCTTCTATCCTGGCGCCTTAGCTACAAGACCAAACTCGCTCTCAGCCATGTTCAATTCTTTGATGGTGTTTTGACAGTCTGTTTTAGCCCATTGAAGAATTCACATTTTTCAAAATAGGTTTCTGATTTTGTGTGTTCATGTGCAGCGTGAGTATGGTTCATTTTGTTTCGTAAACAATTGCACCCCATTTGAAAGTGTTCCGAGGCATCTAGAATGTGTCAGAGAAACTCTTAAAACACATCCTATTCCTCCCATACATTTTTATCCTCTTGCATTAGCAGAAACGCTAAAGCCAGAAATAAGCCCACTGGGGAAAAAAAAACAGGAGGAAAAAAAGAATTAAGATATTCTCTTTTGAGCCACAAAGTCCTCTTTGTAAATGTCCATATTATATTACTATTACTCTGAAAACAGAGTTTAGAACACATGTTTGTTATGCCAGCCAAAGTCCAAAAAAACCAAAAAAACCACAAAAACACAACCTAGTGAAGCCCCCTAATAAAATCAGGAATATAAACTGAACAGTAGATAGTGTCAACTGGGGATATTTTTGCTGATTTCTAAGCTACTTCCATATGAGTTACAAAATTAAGAAAACATGGGTACAACAGAGTGAGCCATCCTTGGTAATTTAGCCAAGTTCTTTGCTTCTACACAGTCTTCCTACACAAAGCACCTGACTTCTTTCCCATTTTCGCTTCCCCCAGATTTGCTGGACTGAGCAATTTCCTTGGAAGAGTTAGGTTAATTTCAACTAATTTATCATCAATCAGGAAAAAAGTGGCCTTGAATTAACCTAATGCATTTTGAACCTTTACAAAGGGATAGCACAGGCAGAAGAACTGGTGGAGAGTGATTCATGGCTGAAACATCCTTGTGAGCTACCCTCTGTCTAGACTGTTCCAAGTTTTCCCCAGATTTTGCTCTGGAAAAACTGATGACTGCAAGAACTATCCCAAACATTCAGTGTCTCCTCCAGGTGCTGAGCTATTCTTAAGACAACTGCTGGAATTAAAAAGAAAGAAAAGGCTTCACGCTCATTCAAGAGAAGATACACACAGCATTCCATCTCTATTTGCTGCTGGTTTTTTTTTAATGCTAAATCTCAAAAGATGCACATTGGAAAGTCAGAACATAGATAATAGCACATATCTTGAGTAGTAATTTTTCTGTGAACCCACACACAGTCCTTTTTTGGACAGAAAGAAAACTGCTAAACTAGGCTGAACAGGTGGAAACCTACCAAGGAGAGATGCAACTTAGAACTATGGAGAAATTTCCTGCCAGTAAGAACAATCAGTGGAATGGCTTGCCTTCTGGAGTTGTGAGTGCTCCATCACTGGAGGTCCATTAGTCTGTATTGCTTGAGTTGGCTAGAAGACCTCGAGGTCCCTTACAACTCTGTTATTCTGTTATTGAACCGAATCAGATCGAATCACAAGGGATCTTGGAGGTCTTCTAGTCCAGCCCCCTGTCCAAGGCAGGAGTCCTTATGTCATCCCGATCGTTCACATTCCTAGCTGCTGATTGCGTAATCTTTCAGGCAATCACAACATAGATCTCAGTGTTGCAAATGTGTTTACTTGTCCCCCAAAGATGCCTTAATTAATGCCACGATTCATGTGATTAATTAGGAATGCCTTAATTGATGCATTCATATAATTAATTACAGGTGGTCCTCAACTTACAACGATTCGTTTAGCAACCGCTAGAAGTTACAACAGCACTGAAAAAAGTGACTTAAGACCACCCTTACAATCATTGCAATCATCCCCGCGGTCACCTGATCAAAATTTGGGCCTTCGGCAACTGGCATGTATTTATGACCATTGCAACATCCTGGTGTAGGTGATCACAGTTTGTGACCTTCGCAGGCAAACAAAGTAAATGGGGGAAGCTGTATTTGCTCAACAACCTTGGATGAGATGAGAAGGTCATAAAGTCAGGTGCAATCATCGAACAATCGCCTGGCTTAGGAATGGAAATTTTGGTCCCCGTCAGGACCCCCTGTATATTACATACCAGGTTCAACTTTGCGATACTAGCATCCTCAAGAAAAAGTAAGAAGGTCCTTTATTGAATATTTGGCAAACTTCCACAGCAGGGCTACAGTGCAGTCTCCATTCACCCCAACATATTCTGCATTCTTCCATGATTATTTCAGGGCTGCCATAAAAAGAAGCTGGATTTTTTTCTGTTGTCTGATCAAGAGAGCTAATCCTACTTATCTGCTTTAGAAAATGGCAATGATTTCAAGAATTCCTGTATGGAGAGACTTGATCCCTCTAAGCAAGGTGGAGGGCAGAGAGTCCATACCAGTCAATAGTAGTAGTAGTAATAGTAGTAGTAGTAGTAGTAGTGATGATGATGATGATGATGATAATAATAAATAATAATAATGATGTTGGAAGGGACCTTGGAGGTCATCTAGACCAACCCCTGCTATTTCTTTAGCTCTTCTATTTTGTTACCTGCTATTTTTCTTGGTTGTACTTTCAGGTTATCAAAATAAAATATAGTAAAACACAATAAAAATAGAAACATCAAACGGATGCATCTTTGAGCTTCTGCACCTAGCTTATTTTACACTTAGCCAATGGTCTTCTTAGTGTTTACTTATGCTTCCGCGCATATTTCTGTTTACTAGGAGGTTATGAAACTGGCAGGGCTCAGGTGAAATATCTAGTTGTCTATAACTCATCTTGAAAAAGCTAAGCAGAGTCAAAAGCAGTAAAATGAGGCACACATATCTCCATCAAGGTCAGGTTCCTGATTCTCTAACCCAAGAAAACTCCGTGGATGTCTCAATGTGCTCACCAGGGATCCAACTTGGTTAGATTCAAGTTTCTTTGTGCAAAAGATAGGCAATCCAAATGAAGATACTGAAATGTTGTTGTTTTTTAACCACAATGCAGCTGCAGGTATTGGCAAATTGCCCTGAATGCGGACGTTGCTGATTTCAGCAAAGGTGCCAATGATCTGCTGCTAAACTCTTTTTACTCTCAACTTTGCTTACCTCTATTTGATTGAGCAGAGGGTCCTCAAACCTGAAGCCAGGTATCCTCTTTTCACTGCAGACCACACTCACATCCTCGGTGTGCTTGCAGTCTGACACACCCCATCCGTTGGAGGTACACTGAGCTATCGATGTCTCTCTGCCCGTGCAGTAGAGGTTGTCTAACCAGATTGGGCCTACAGAGAGAGAGGAGCAAAGGTCTCTTTTAGGAAGTCCATTCTCCACTTTGTAGAGCAGGGGTAGGCAACCTTGGCTCTTTTATGACTTGTGGACTTCAACTCCCAGAATTCCTGAGCCAGCCATGCTGGCTCAGGAATTCTGGGAGTTGAAGTCCACAAGTCATAAAAGAGCCAAGGTTGCCTACCCCTGTTGTAGAGTAAAAAGAATTTCATAAGATTGAGCTCTGCGGCCAACTATAGCAATGTTGGAAGCCTCTTCGAAACTGTCTCCTTTAGGAAGAAGAGTAGAAAAGGCTAACAAATGGAAAGTAGCCAGGAGGCCACACAGCTAAGCATTAGAGATTACCTTTGTGTAACATTTGAAACATATTTTTTGAACTCATGTTATTTTTCAGACTATTCTCCAAAGCACCAGAGGGCAAGACAAGAAAACAATGGTTGGAAACTGATCAAAGAGAGAAGCAACCTGGAATCAAGGAGAAACTTCCTAACACTGAGGACAATTAACCGGTGGAACAGCTGGCCTTCAGAAATGGTGGGCGCTCCATCACTGGAGATTTTAAAGAAGAGGCTAGACAGTCACTTGTCTGAGATGGTAGGTTCTCCTGCTTGAGCAGGGTTGGACTAGAAGACCTCCAAGGTCCCTTCCAGCTTCTATTCTATTCTATTCTATTCTATTCTATTCTATTCTATTCTATTCTATTCTATTCTATTCTATTCTATTCTATTCTATTCTTCTTTTCCCTGATGTCAGCCTTATGAGGTAGTCCAGAGAAGAAGTGCACCCACCAGTGCTAACTCTGCTTTCTGGTTTGAGACTTGCAACTTTCTGTACATTAACAGACACTTGCAAGTCTCAAAGTACATTTTCACAACCACCAGTACCTTTACAGTCCAAGAAACTAGGGCGAATCTTTCTGAGATTCTTCCATTACTTCTGCAGGTTCAGCTGCCTCTTGTCTAATTGTGGCTCTTCTCCTCCCAAGTTCATTCCCACATAGCATTACATCGACAACAATTTGTTGCTTAATAAAGGTATCTGCAACAGTTGGGTTCGAATAATGTGGAAGGTAGGTAGGTAGGTGGAGTACACTGGTACATGGATAGGTAAGCTAGTTAATTACTTTGTTGAAATATTCTCAAGCTGGTGAAAGACTACCATAAAGCTAGACTTACTCTGGGGAAGTACCTTATCTGATTTTGGAGAAGAACATGGAGTTCCAGAGCAAGGGTTACTTCAAGGAGCCAGGAGCAACTACCTGATAGTTCCTCTCTCTTGGCCAGTATGTAGTAAGTTAAAGCTTCTGCTTCAAGAACTTCAAGTGGATGCAATAAGTGACATCAGAAATGAACTGTGAGAAGTGCAGTAAAGCATGGTTGAAGGTCTGCCCTAGATGGGTCAGGAATGGGACACCGT